TTCCGAACTGATCAGCAATATGCTGAATGCTGTATTAGTCTGTCTTTTATAGTGATGTAAAATATTTAAAATGATAAATAAGAGTTTCCAATTAGTATGTAACAGACAGACTTATTCTTTCTATATGTGACAGCTTAACAAAAAAAAAATAAAATTCATTTGTTTATATCAGTTAAGCATTCTTTATTATATTTCTGCAAGGGTTGATATATCTGCGGCACGCCATAGATAGCTGTTAATTGTTTTTATTAATTTTTTTTTTATTTTTAAAATTTTAATAAATATGTTTATACACCCTGCACTAATTGGCTCTCAATGAAAGCGTTTTTGTTCCCTGGCTTATACATATATATGCATATATATATATATATATATACTATATGCATATTCATGTAAATGTCATACAGTTTTTATTGTATATATCTTTTCAGTCTTGTTTAATTATCTGCAAATTCATGACATAATATTTTATGCTTTTTGTTTTTTAAACATACTTAATTTTTAGGCTTTGCTGCTTCACTAATAATATCTATTTTATTTCTTTTATAAATATTGCTTAATTGTTTTTGTGCTCATGAATCATTAATTTATTATGCATAATCATGTTGATGTTATTTTTAGTTTTCATATTTTATTTTGTTGGCGTTGATTTAACCCCGAACCGTTTTGTTATCCTCCTCTCCTTTCTTAAAACCCGTTTCGTATTTTGTTAAGTTTTGTTACGATTTTTTTTCTTTGCGTCGCATTGTGTCCAGTCTCATAAGTAATGCTATTGATTTTCGTTCTTCTTTTCTTTTGTTTTTTCTTTTCTCGTTTTATTTTCATATGTTGTATGGCTGAACAACTCCCACTCCACACAAAAAAACAAAAAAAAAAAAAACAAAAAAAAACCAACCAACTACAACAACAACATATTTGCACCAACAACAAATACACAAAATAAAATGTTAAATTCAAAATCAACAAATCAAAATCAAACAACCAAAACAACAACCTGTTAAGCAGATTTGAGTATTACGCGCATTGCGGGACTCACCTGGAATGAGTGGAACGCACGACTGGCCATGCCACTGGTGACACTGCGAGAGGGCGTTCAGCCATTAGTTTTTCCCACCGATCTGTCGGTGGACAAGCAGCTGAACATAGCTGGCTTGAAGGCAGCCTCTGTGGATGCCAATGATCGGAAAACGCCAACGGGTTGCATCAGTCCAAAGATTGAGCCGGGCACCACATCAACACCACGTAGCATGAGCGAAAAACAGCACAAGATCTATCCCGGTGGCGGCAAGCTGAAGCATTTGTCCGAGGAGGAGGCCACTGCCCTGATGCTGAAGGCTGTCGCTGAGAAACAAGCAAGAGCAGCAGTTGCCGCAGCGTCCAAAAACAGTTCCGATCTAAGTTTTGGCGATGATAATCTCAGCGGTGTTGGCGGCGGCAACGGAAACGGGAGCGGTAGCAGCGATTATCCCATCACGCTGACTGGTGCCGTATCGCTGGCCGATGTGGGACAGGCTGGACTCTGCCATATCAATATATTGAATAGCATTAGCGCCATGAATAATCTCATCAGCGGCAGCACGGCAGGCGCTGGCAGCGGCGCCGTTGGCAATGCCAATAATCTGAGCGTCACTTTAAGCTCCGGTGCTGGAGGCAGCAGCAGCAATAATAGCTCTATAGCTGGCGCTGATAACAACGGTGCTGGACACCCATGTCCTGTTTGCGGACGCGTCTATAAGCTAAAATCATCGCTGCGCAATCACCAGAAATGGGAATGCGGCAAGGAGCCGCAATTCCAGTGCCCCTTCTGCGTATACCGTGCAAAGCAAAAGATGCACATTGGCCGACACATGGAGCGCATGCATAAGGAGAAATTCCAGCTGGAGGATGACAAGAGTTTCATCAGCAGCATTATCGGCGGTAGCCATGGCTCCGCCGGTAGTGGTATTGGCCCTGGCGGCATTGATACCGAAACTAGCGTCGGCGCTGGCAGCGCTGCGGCTGCGGTGGCCGCCGTGGCTGCGGCAGCTGCGCTGTCCAATGCACCAGAATTGCATTTCTCATGAGTTTTGTGAAATGAATGGGGGGGAAAAATGGATTTGTGCATAAGAAGAGCATTAAGGTTGCAACAAGCGTATTTAAATTGAAAAAATCTACATATATCAGGGATTTAAAATCAAGCAAGGAAAATTGAAATTATATAAAAACAAAAAGAAAGCATGAACACACACACAAAGCAGAAATACACACGGGTATGTGTATTTCAGTGTGAGGTAGTCAATCAACAATAACAACAACAACAACAACAAAAACAACAACAAGAAAATTACAACACACACCTAGCTCTCGGGGTTTCTTATACGGAATACGGAATCAGTGTGCCAAATTAATATTAAAGAAAAACACACAAAAAAAAAAACTGAATATTAATATTTAATAATTGATAAGAACGTCTGGAAAATTGCGAAATTTTCCATTAAACAAAAAAAAACAAAACAATTTGTTGCAAAGCACAAAACAAAGCAAATTTAGCCATTTTTTTAATAAAACATTTTTTGTTATTGTTATTAATTTTTTAACAAAAAAAAAAAGTCAAGTGCACCAGCAAAAATATTTTTTGGAAAAAAATTTTTGTTATAATAAACAGCAAAGTGATCAGTAAAATGATTTTACACACAACAATACAAACACACAAATTGATTCAGCATTCCACAAGTTACAAAACAACACAACAAATAAAAGACACAAATTGTACAATGAAACATAATTTAGTTTAGATTAGGGCTAAGATTGGTTAAGAACATATAGAATAATAGGTTTGAAAACGAACGCGGTGCGAGCAGTCAACTCAGTGGATAGTCTTTTTTTATATAAAGCTTTTCGAACTCAGAGCATATTAAGATATTAGTTAAAACAAAAAAACAAACAAAAAACAAAAACAATGAGCCGTAGAGCATTAGATATTCGCAAAACATTTCAGTGCCAAACTAATAAGAAGATACCTAAAAACCGAAATACACAGTTAACAGAGACAGTACAGTTACAATTCATAACAAAACAATATCAACAAGTTACCTCAACTTATAATATTGCTAAAAACAATATATAATAGTCTAATGGCTTTAAAGTTTAAACTATGCTCAAATTTTTGTTATGAACTTCTTTTTTTTTTTTGAGTCAAACAAAGTGAAAGAAGAAACTTCAGGACAAGTTAAAAAAGTGCCTTTTGAAATTGGAGACATACAAAATTAAAGTTAGACAACAGCAGGATAGAACGACAGTATGTGCGGTTTTGAAGATATTAACATGGTTATTATTATAATAAAGAAATATCTAACACTTGAAAGCCATATCAATTAGCTTGTAAGCTGTATCTTAAGTCAAGTCAGCTAACAAAAGTGTCAAGAATATATAATAATCATCATTTTTTACATTATTTTATTATTTACGAAACAAAATGATACACATTTGAACTCAGGTACTTAGTTTTGTGTTTCACAATAAGGCAGGAAACCAAGAAACGGGCGCACGTAGCTGAGCTACGTTGGATGTTTATCCCAAAAATATATAAAAAAAAATAATAACAATTACACAATATATACATGCATATATATGTATAACAACAACAACAACAACAAAAACAACAACAAGTAAAACACCGCCACAATACGTCACATGCACTTATTTATTTTTAATATTTATGAAAATATATTATAATTATATATACATATGTATTATAATACATAATATTTTTAACATTTTTTTATGTTCTTTTTTGCTAGTAAAGCGTAATTTTTAGTTTTCAATTTAAAACTTATAAGCTATTAAAAGCAAAAACACATTCCATAGATGATTTTATAAACAATTAAGTGAAACAACAACTACTGCAAACATTCACAGCAACATAAAGAAATAAGAAGAAAAAAACAAAACAAAACAAAACAAACATGGATTGCCAGTCAAACTGTGCACTAAAAAAGATTAAAATTTAAAAATTTAATTACATTTACAACAAAAAAAATCTCGAATTATAATTATTAATCTGCTAATTTTCTGCTAAGAAAGTAAAAAAAGCATTGGTTATATTCAAGCGGTGTTGGGGCTAAGTTTAGCGCTTCTTTATAAAATGAAGAATACAAATTAAGCAATAATTAAAAAAAAAAAAGAAAACAGCAAAAGTTAAGGCAAAGTGAAAATTCAAAATTTTCTAAATTTATGTTAAACAGGTTAAACAATATTGTTGAACAATTTTTGGTTAAAAACTGGCACACAACATTTTGATACACATTTCAAAAATGAATAAAATAAACTAAAATATTAATTACGTTAATGAAGCAAACACTTAATAAGAACAACAATACTCATTAAAAATACAACAAAAAATATGATAACAGTTCTACATAGATAACGCTGTATGCGTTTCTACACGCATATGAAATATATATACATGTATATATATGCATATATATATATATATATATATATATATATATTATATTAACTTACATTTAATTTTTTCAATACGTCGTTCGTAACCTTTTTGTAAATTGATATACATATATTAAAAAAAAAAAGAGAAAGAATACATTCAATGTGAGAAATATAAGAAATTCATGTAATAAAACGCAAAAAAAAACAAAAACTTGTTTGCTATGCTGCGCTTAAATTATTTCGTTCTTAATTTTACCATTATTTTTATTATTATTGTCATTATATTAAACAACTTAAATATATATTATTTGATTTTCGTAAGCAGCCCTTAGTTTATGTATCGTACTGCTTGTAAGTATTATATTTTTTTCTATTTTGTCACCTATGTTTTTTTAATTGAAAAAAAAACAAAACAACAACAAAACTATGCATTGGAAAAAGATACAAAATAATTATAGGGCACACATTTTAGGCACACGAAATAAAAAGTCATTTGTAGGTGATCTCATATTCCACAAAACTATTTGCGATTCCAACTAATATGTGCATATTTTGTGTATCAATTTTTGCAGATGATAATGGCCAGCTGGACTCGGGCGAATCTCGTATACGTGTGCGCAATTGGCTCATGTTGGCGGATCAGTCGATCATAGACAAAACTAGTGATGAGTCTACAGGTATTTAAACCAGTTTTCCAGCTTATGATTTTTATTGATGTTGCATATATCTTATTTTTCAAGTTGTTATATAGCTCAGCAGGGCGTGTATTATAATTGTATGTGGCTGATTTAACAAAGATGGAATTTATAATTTGATTTAAAGAGCACTTAAAGACTTAAAGATTCTCCGGTTTCTGATTTCCTATCAATTCAATTTTAATGAATTCAACTAAAATATTTCAGGGAATTACTTAAATAGTTAAATTAATTTTCTAACGAGATTTCAATAGATTTATCTTATAACTATAAGAACAACTCTGCTGGGTTATTAAATCTTCGGACTGCCGTTGCCTGAATTTTGTATCATATTTTTTATAAGTTCTGCGATTCTTTTTTTTTTAAATAATATTTTGTTTTCTATCCACAGTCGTATTTTTTCAATACTGTTTTCGTTTTGTTTTGTAACCTGGCCCTGTGCACACTGCGGCAACATACATTTGCATCCATTCATCATTTTTCTCTTTTAATATATTTCACGCATTTCTCAACAAAATAACTAACCTAACATTTCCCTAAAACAATTTCTATTTTCATGCGCCAAAAATAATAACTAAAACAAAAATGTTCATCAAAATTTAAAAAAATAAACTAAAACATTGCTAACACTTTTCAAACCACTAACACAAACAAAGATAAACTAACTCCGAGCAAAAAGCCAATCACAAACGCTGCTAAAAACACTAACAATGCCTGTGCGGCGAAGGCGCCAACGACGCCGACAGCGATCAGCACAACGCCGCCAGCGACGAGAACGCTCAACAACAGCCACAACAACAGCAACAGCAACTCTAACAGCAACAACAACAGCAATGCCGTTGCCGAGAAGACAAACAGTGGCGGCAGTTGTTTGCCTGTGCTGGATCCAAAGACTCAAACGGTGACACGAATTGGCAGCATTGGACGCACCACGATTGCGTGCATCACACCGGCGAGTCTGAAGAATAGTGCAACCAATTGTAATGTGGATGCCGCATCGGCTGCCGTGCTGGCCGCTGCTGGTGTCGAGCTCGATAGCATTGATGATGGAATGACCGAGATGATTGTGAAGATTGAGAGTCCAGATAATGTGTCGCTCAACGGCGATGAGGCTGTGTGCAATGAGGCCATCGATGATGAGAACACTTTCGACTATGATCTGAAATTGGCCAGTCCCCTGTCGTGGACCTATGATGCTGTCAAAATTGAGAATGAGGAGTTCGAGGATAGCTATTTGATGGACAATGATGATGATGATGATGATCTGCTGACAACGGCGGCCGCTACACAGAAACATGCCAAGCAATCGAATGAGAAGCAAAGAACCAGCAACAACAGTAGCAGCAACAATAATAACAACAACAACAACAATGCCAACAGCTCGAGTGGCAAGAAGATTGTATTGAACACGCAACAGCAGCAGAAGCAGCAATTGTTGCTGGAGCAGCAGCAACATCTGCAGCATTTGCAATTGCAACCCACAAGCCAATCACTTCAAATCAAGCTGCCGGCAATACCGGCAACAATAACAACAATCACAGCACCACAACAAAAACAACCGGTGGCAAGCACTAGCGGTGGTGCGGCGAATGTAACCACCGCAAATTCAACGCTGCTCTCGAGCAAATTGGGCCTCAATATGGACGCACAGAATCTGAATTTGCACTGGTCGCACACGGATGACAATCGTTATCGCATCCTGGTGCAGAACAAGCGCATGCGCAAGGAGTCGCTGGAGCATTCGGCGGACATGATCTACAATGCGGACATTGAGAAGCCGTGGGTGTGCCGCAACTGCAATCGCACCTACAAATGGAAGAACAGCCTCAAGTGTCATCTGAAGAACGAGTGCGGTTTGCCACCACGCTATTTCTGCAGCAAGATGTGCGGCTATGCCACGAATGTGCATAGCAACTTGAAGCGTCATCTCAATACCAAGTGTCGCGACCGTGAGAAGGAGGAGGAGGAGGGCGAGAAGGAGAAGGAGAAAGAGAAAGAAAAAGAGAAGGAGAAAGAGAAGGAGCGCAAATTGGCGCCGGCGCCAGCGCCAGCGAATGCAACAAGTGTCGTCAACAGCAGCAGCAGCAGCAGCAGCATAAGCAACAACAACGGCAATAACAACAGCAACAACAGCAGCACATACACACTGATCTTTCAACATGAATAAAGAGTCGACGAGAGCGTCACATGTATTTTAATGTTGTACAAAGAAACTGGCAACAACACAACTGGTGCGCAAGCACTAAAAACCAGCTGTAGAATTTGTCTTAGCACAGATTGTTTATTTATTTATTTTTTTTTTTAAGTTTCTCTGTTATTTCTATTTTTTTTGTAAAAGCGCGTGTGCAATTTTTATTGCTGCAAATCTAACAAAAAAAAACCAAATTAAACCTAAATCGCAGCACTGAATTTGTCATAAGTTTCTAACTATTTTATATGCCCATTTCTTTGGAATAAACTGTGTTTTTGCATGCCCCGCTTGCCGTGCCGTCAAGTTAGTAGAAAAAAAAAAACCATAAAAGGCGATGAGGAAACCGAAATATGACAAACTTAGTTTTAGTTGGCAATATGAAACGCAAAGATTTTTTGTATTGTATTAGCGAATTCTCAAAAAAAAAAGAAAAAAGAAATACGACAAAAAAGATATACAAAACAACAAATGTGTAAATTTTTTTTCTAAGAAAAAATGCACACAAAACTTAAGAAATTATATAACTAGTCACAGCAAAAATTGTTTAAGAGTGCTATAAAAAAAAAGAATACAAAAAAAATAAAACAAAAAACAATCTAAGAATCAATGAATGCCATGATTTCATGCCCCGTAAAAAAACAAAAGCAAACCAAAGACAAATTATGCCCACTTACACATATATACATAGTACATATACATATAATGTACATTTTTACTTTTATTTATTTAGTTGCAATCGAATTTTCTTATACATTCACTAATTGGTTAGAAACTCTTTTAGCTACATATAAATATTTGGGCATTATCTATGTTAGAATTGCTTTATAAATACTTAAATATATATATATGTATATAAATATATATATATATATATATACAAACACAAGTTCTAGTCAAAAACAAAAAGAAACAAAAAAAGAAATGATTATATTATAAAAATAATATGTATTAAATATAAAAGAATATCTATAAATTATCATTTCAAAATTAGTCAAAAATTATTATTATATTAATTCTAAAATAATGTTTTAGTTCTTAAATTCGAAAATATCAGCAAATGCTTCTCTAAAATTGTCGAAAATTACCTAAAAATGTTAGATTTAAAAACACAAACAAAAAAAACAACAACAACAACACTCGGCAACAATTGCAACTCCAATTTCCATATGTAAAAAGCAAAATGAACAAAAATTGGCCATTTAAATCTCAAATATAATAGTTATAAGACCGAAACACACACATACACACACACACACACACACACATACAAAAATACAAAAAACCATGCAAAATGCAAACAAAAATTCTACAATTATTATTATGTATTCCATATGAAATGAATATATCGTAATTATTGCCGGCTATATGTATTAAATTAAAATTCGAAATACAATTAAAAGCAAATGTCAAAACAAAAAATAACCAAAAACCAAAGTTGTATTTATTTTAATTGTAAACAAATCGACTATGTTTTCTCCCCAGTCATCAATACCTCATCCATCATCTCAATTATTAGTATATGCTCATATACAACACCAACTCTCCCCCAAATATGCCCAAGCCTTCCCAAGCTATTCCAAAATCTCCAAAAAAATCCAAAAAACTATCTAGATTATTTATATGTATATGCTACGAGTTGTATATTTTTTTTGTGTGTCAAGAATCAATACTAATCAGTTCTCTATTTCAGGTGGATGTTGGCCGTATTGATGTTGATTGAGATCGATGAAAGTATATCTCTGTGCTGGCACAACAAATATCCATACAAGAACATGAACGCTGCTTATGGTGTAGCCCTCTCTAATTGTTGTTTGCATGCTCTTAACCTACTATACTACAAATCTACATAACTAGAACCAGTGAATCTGCTGCTTAGATATCCTATAAACCAACCAAATTTAGATATGGATGTGTATGTAAATGTTTTCATAGAGACAACGTAACACCCACCCACCCAGTGGGCATCTGGGGCCTAATATTGATGATTATGTTACATAACTAGTATATATATATATATATTATATATTATATATATATATATATATATATATATATAAAATCTTAACTTTGTATGAAAACTTTTTATTAGAATTTGTAGATTTGTTCTCTCTTTTTTAAATGCCATTCGTTTGTATTGCTGCAGGTTATTCTTAAGTTTCACCTTTGCGCTCATTATAGTGTCGAAACGTTCCAAACATTCATATATATATTCTATCTATATAATTATATATATATATATATATATCTATTAATATAAAAAAAAACTTAAATTATTTATACATATATAACTATTATTATTAAACAAAAAAAACAAAACAAAAAAATGATGGAAGCAACTTAGTTTTTAAAACTAAATGTTTTTATAAATATTGCATTTTCTATCAACCTTTTTTTACTTTTAGATTTACTTTGACATTTTGTAGTTCCTATTACTTAAAAAAAAAAAAAAACAAATTATTGTGCATGCGTATTTTTTTTTTTTTAATTTAAAATTCCTAACCGCCAAACTCTAGGATTGCTCCTACATCTGTGGAGCAGCTAGTAATCTATGGATTTATAAGTTCTCTTCTAAGTCCCCTCTTCAACACACATACCTATACCAATAAGTAACAAAATGTGATTTCCTATAATAATTAATTATTATTTTGTATATTTGTGACTAACACAGTTAAAAAACCGATTTTAAAACTAGTTAAAAAAAAGCCAACAAAAAAAATCACGTGTAACTTTTTGCTTAGCTGAATTTGTACTCAATGTAACTTACACTGAATTTATTGATGTTTACACACACATTTTATATTTTATTCATTGTGTTTATTAAATTATTTTATTTAATTTTTTTTTTGTCATTTTTCTTAAACAGCGTTCACACACACCTTTTATATATCGTAAACATTTCAACATTTTACTCTAGAAACAAGCAGCGCCTACTCACACAAACACACACACATGCACACACAACACATACACACACACAAAACACACACACAACACACATACACAACACACACCCACAACACACATCTACACAAACACAACCCGCAACACGTCATTTACCAATGCACCAAAATTCACTTTAAAAGTAAAACGAAACGCAACATTTATAACGATTCACGGTAATAAATTCTATATAAATATATATATTTTGGTTCAATTATATTTCCAATTAGATCTTAGGAATTATAATTTCTCTATCTCTGAACAAAGACAAGTAAAAACTATGCAACTCTTCCCCAGCATATTGTTGAAATGAATACATTTACTAACTTTAAATTCTGTTTGATTTCTTCTTGTCTTCCTCGTCTGCAGAATTTGCACATACCGGCCAGGGAAGAGCGAGCAGCCAGCATACGCCACCGACTCATCATTATTATCCGTTGCAGCAGATGAAGACTAGTCCATATACCAGTCCCATTGCCACGCCTACTGGCGTTATCAAATACGAGCATACCGCCCTCACGGATGATAATGAGTCGGAGCTGCGCATTGATAGTGGCCGTGCCACGCCCACACACTGCACACAGCACGGCCATGTGCGTCATGGCAATAATGGCGACAACGACGACAGCAACAATAACAACAACGAGAACGATGAGGATAACGATGATGATAGTGGCGATAAGCCGTATGATCTGCGTATGGACTTTGCCAAAGTCATAGCTGCCGCACATGCTCACGGTGGCCTGCCACTGGGCCATGTTCATCACCAGCAGCAGCAACACACACGTACGATCGCCCAGGTAATGCAGCAGTCCAGTCCCGATGAGCCGCTGCGTCGCTACAGCAGCAGCAGCAGCGTTGGCATTGCGCCCACAACGCTGCCAACAAACAGCAGCAGCAGTTTTGTGGACTCCAAGGTAGCGGTAATGGCAGCAGCGGTTGCTGCTGTGGCAGCGAACAATACAAGTGCCTCATCCAGCGGCGGTGCATCGACATCAGCTGCTGCTGCAGCGGCTGCAACTGCTGCTGCCGCTGCTGCCGCAGCGGCGGCTGGACTTGTCCAATCTAATGCGGCTGCTGGCTCGCTTAGCGGCGGCACGACCGGCAGCGGCAGCTGGAGCGGGCCTAGCGGCAGCGGTGGTGGTGGCGGTGCCTATGCCTGCGATCGTTGTGGCAACACGTATGCGCGTCCGCACAGCTTAAATCGACACGTGCGCTTCGAGTGTGGCGTAGAGCCGCAATTCGAGTGCCCCATCTGCCACAAGAAGTCGAAGCATAAACACAATCTCGTGCTGCACATGCGCACGCACCAACATCGATGATACAATCAACAACAATTGCAATGACGCCAGCAACTGGTTGCTGCTGCGGCTGCTGCTGTTGCCACTAGTTTGTTAGCCTTGTTTCTTCGCAGCACTTCTGAGCATCCAGTTCAGTCCAGTCCAGTCCAGTCCAGTCCAATACAGTACAGTCCAAAAACAAAAACAAAAACATAGCGCGCGGTTTGAGCAAGTTTTTTCAAATGATCTTGAAAACATATAGTCGTTTTTATATATATATATAAATATATATATGTATATGTACAATATATATCTACATACGGAGCATGCATATGTGGAAAATATTAACAAATTCTAATTTTTAGTTCGTATATATCAAATTTTTCTTCTCTATTATTATTTTTTTTCGATTGCTTTACAACGTTTTCCATATATATATATATATATATATATATATATATATATTATTTATATACATATATACTGAGGGGGCGCGTGAGAGTGCAAATTCATGTTGCATGGTTTTGTTTTCGTTTTTGTTGTTGCTATTGTTAAAATGCGTGTAACATCCTTAGAAAACTCAATGATCTCAATGAATTTTTCTTTATTGTGGTGTAAAAGAAAAAAGGAAAAATAATGCATTTTTTGTGTAGAAAAAGGGAAAGAGCGAATAACAGAAAAACGCAAAACATTCACATTAATTTTAGTGTTGAATTTTTTTAGCGTACTTTATTTATTAATAAAAAAATAATAATAAATAACAACAAAAGGCCCAAACTTGAGAGAAGAAAAATCATGTTGTGGTTTAGATAACAAATATAAAAACAAAGAAAAAACCCTGATTGTGACTCGATGCAGGGCATAGGCACTCTCACGCGCTTACATTTAATTTTTTTTTTTTTTTAACATAATATTTTGGGGCAATAGTTAAACTTAATAAACTAAACTTAAAAAACAGAGTACATATGTAAAAATGATAAATCTTCGAGCATACACTTGTATGTTTGTTTTAAAATAGCAACAGTCAATCGTTTAGTCAGTCAAAAAGTAACCAACTAAGTTAATTAGTTTAAGCTTTAATGCAAAATAAAGCGTAACTAAATCTAATCACAATGGACATGTGCAATAAGCTTAAAACACAGACAGCAACAAAAGCAACACTATAAACGAAAAAAAAAAAATCGCTAAAATCTTGTGCAATACACGAAA